GGAAGACTGGCACAGATGTTAGGTCAGGGTCAATCTTCCCCAGCAAAAAAAAAAAAAAAAAAAACCTGACAGACTGATTCTAAAAGTCATATGGAAATGCAAAGGACCTAGAATAGCCAAAACAACTCTGAAAAAAAAACAACAAAATTGGAAGACTTACACTACCTGACTTCACAAGACTCTATGGCCAGCTGATTTTCAACAAAGGTACAAAGGCAATTCAGTGGAGAAGGGATAGTCTTTTCCCCAAACAGTACTGAACAACCGGACATCCACGTGCAATAAAATGAGCTTCAGTCCATACCTCACACCACACAAAAACTCAAAATGCTTCACAGACCTAAATGTAAAACTTAAAACTGTAAAGCTTCTGGAAAAAAACATAGAAGAACATCTCCATGACTGACAGAAAAAGCAAAATCTATAAAAGAAAAACTTGATAAACTGAAATTCATCAAAGAACTTCTGCTCTTTGAATACACTGCTAAGGAAATGAAAATAAAACAAGTTTACGCCACTCAGGCGCACCCCTCAGTGACAGACACACTGCAATAAACGTCAGCGTGCCCCCCGCCCCCGTCGCTCTCCTCATCCCACTTCTGCCTTCATACCAGGCAGTAAGTGCCCTGCTCCCACTGAGATCCGATCCCTCACGGCAGCCTCACCTGACGGCCCTGCACTGGCCGCTTCCCCTTCCAAGCCTCCTCCATGCTTAGAGTGCTGACCTCTGTCAAACACAGGTCATCTCACGCACGCCACACCGTTGCTGACCAGTCTTCACTGCGGCCCAGAGAATCAAACTAACACCTGCAACACAGGCTGGCGCAGCCTAGACCCAACCCCCTCTCTGCTTCTTTCTCACCCCTCTGACATTCTAGCGTCGTGGCCTCCTGAAAACCCCCGGCCACGGCTTTGACTCTCAGCACCTTGGATTCTGCTTGCCCTCTGCAAGTACGCCCTGCCCTGCCCTCTCTACCAGGGGCAGTCCTGCTCATTCCTCAAGGCCCATTCCTGTTTCCTTGCCCAGGACACTCCCAAAACCCCAGCAAGTGATAAGTATTCCCGCGGCCCTCTGCTCATACAGTGAACAAAGGCTCAGTACAAAATATTAACAGTTGTATGTTCCAGTCTACCTCCTCCAGGGCACTGTGAGCAGGGAGAAAAGTTTTGGTTTATATCCTTAGTGTGCACAGAGTTTTTTAAAAAACTGTTCATTGAAGGAATAGAATCAAAATCCTCTCATAAGAGTCAATATTGTAAAACTGTCAATCTTCTTTAATCTATAAATATGTGAATCAGGATATTGGAGGGTACCTGACTAAACAGTTCCAAAATTCATATGGAAGGATCAACATACAAGAGTAGTCAATTAAATTTTGAAAAGTATATGAAAACGGGGATTTGTCTTATAATTATGTTCAGAACGTATAAAAAGGCTCCAGTAATTAATACTATGCTATTGTTAAAAGAATAGGTGCACAGGGCCGGCCCTGTGGCTTGGTGGTTAAGTGCGCGCGCTGCGATGCTGGTGGCCCGGGTTCGGATCCCGGGTGCGCATCGAGGCACCACTTCTCCGTTCATCCTGAGGCCGAGTCCCGCATACAGCAACTAGAAGGATGTGCAGCTACGACATACAACTATCCACTGGGGCTTTGGGGGGAAAAAATAAAATAAATAAAATCTTTAAAAAAAAAAAAAAAAAAGAATAGGTGCACAAATCAACAGAACCATATAGAAAGTCCAGAAATAAATGCCGATAAGGAACAAAAGGTGTTTTACAAAAAGGCAGGGTTTTAAATCGTAAAGACAGATCAGCCAATAAATAATGTTGAAACAGCTAGTTAGGCATTTAGGGAAAAAAATTAATCTTCCCTACATCTTTCTTTACCCCAAAATAAATTCTAGATGGATACAGAGTTAAATGTAAAAGTCCTAGGGGAAAATACAGGTAAATATTTTAGTCTTGGAGTAGGAAAAGACCTTCTAAGCCAGATACAAAAACCCACACACTAACAAACACTGCTCTGTTTGACATATAAAAATTTTTAATTTCTGAAAGTCAAAAACATATAAAAATTTTGAAAGCCATATTCATAAACATACACCTAAGCCCACAACCCTACACGCTCACACACCTCAGTCAGTCGCCAGTGGGGCATAAAGTAAATAAAAGACAAAGTGGGACAAATCATTCACACGAGTATGAGGAGAAGCTAACTCATCTAATATTAACACGCCTGGCGCCCGCCACCTACATCAACAGGACAAATAGGGAAACAGGCAAAGGGGCGGACAGCCAACAGACAGGGGACAGCCTGGCCTCTCCATCGAGGCGGGCAGTGTGCAGATGGTTAGTTCAGGATTCCGGCACTGGGTTCTTTTTGCGTCACAAGGGAAAGGCTCAGATGGAGGCCTGGCACAGGGCTGTGCTCCGCTGGCACCGGCTGTCGTTGGTGCTGTGGCCATTGCAAGGTGAGGACAGCCATCAGAGCCTGTGGAGCAGCCACTACAAGCCTGAATGGTCACACTGTGTGATGGGATCACCCACCTTTCGACATCTCTCTACAGACGCCCTCACACGAGTGTACAGAGATCTTTAAAAAAACCACAAATGCCAATCAGGGGTCTGGTTAGATTTTTAAAAAAACAAGCAACGGGAGAAGGTGGTAGGCAGGTAAGCATAAACTGCCGTGCAGAGAGCTGAGCTTGACCGCCCAGTGGAAGGGCCAAGTGTGCACAGCCGAGCAAGGGTTTGGTGAGGCCTCGTCCGCTGCCCCCGCCCCAGGCCAGGAGGTCTGTGTGCTGACCCTCAACACAGAGGGCGATGGCAGCAGACCCTGCTCTCCATGGAGGAGACAGACAGACATGTGAGCACATTGCTGATGGCAAACTGAGGTGAATGCTCCCGTCCCTAGGGGAAGGGTCTGGAAGGCCCCCCTACGTCCTATAGGAAGCGTCTGCTGAGTACTGACTGCCCTTCTGGCACCTCAGAGGCACCATCTCCTTTAATCCACATGGCAGAGCAGGCCTGAGAGTGACACACTGCTAGTTTGCAGCTAGTTAGCGGTGGGCAGGACTCAACCAGGACTGGCTCCCACTGGTTCCACTCCACGCCCACGCTGTGATGCACACTAGGACAGGTCACAGAGGCAAGGTGGACGGGGTCTTCCCTCCCTGCGTTGTACACACTGTAGGTGAGTGAAGCAGCAGCTGCCTCCTTGTCAGTCTGTACTCAGCATTCATTCAACCACATTTAGTAAATGCCCACCAGGCGCCGTCCCAGCCCACAGAGCCCCTAGCTTGAAGGATGCCCATGTGTATTACAGCTGCCACATGACATAGCACAGGCTAAGACAGGTGCTGGGTCAACTGCACTGGGCCTGAAGAGGGTCAGAAGGGGGCATGGAAGGCCAAGGAGGCCACATGAACCATAGCCCAGAAGCAGCCATGAGCCTGTCTGGAGGGTTAGGTGTGCACGGGGAGACCAGGCAGGCAGGATGCCACATGGGGTCACGAGAATGCCCCACCCATGCAGCAGGCCCACAGGACTTTCCTTCCCAGCACAGGAGCCAGAGAAAGAATCAACTTCCAGAGTCACCAACAAGAACCTGGGCTGAAAACCCAGGAAATACAGTTCCACAGCTCCTTGTTCATAATCCCTTGAGAACACTATTTCTCAACATAAGCCATGCCAAGCTGTGTCACTGGGTTTGCAGGCAAACCCACAAAACCGGGTGGCACTCCAGCTCAGTGAAGAAAGCACATTTCTCAGGACATCCAGCAGCCAGCATTCCCTGAGCACTGACCAGGAGTGCACGAGAGCCACAGAAGCTTTCCGTGGCCTCTACCTGGAGGAGATCAAATAGCTCAGCTCAGTGAGGGGGCTCATGAGATCTGGGGCCACTGATCACAGACAAGCAGCACCCCGACTGCTCACCTGGGCCTCAGTGGACCCTGCATCTGAAAACTAAGTGCAGACACCTGCTTCTAGGCACATGGGACAGCTGTGAACATGAGCAAGCACATGTCGCACAGGTTCCACCTCTGATCCACTGGTGTCCCTCAGCAGGCAGCAAACAGCCCTGGGGGAGTGAGAAACAGCGAGATGCAGGTCTGAACAAGCCATGGCTGCATGGACATTGGTTTCAAGATGACCAAGACAGCTCAACTTCAGGTCATTCCACTCTGACACGAAAAAGAGATCAGAGACACCTGACATTGAGCCATGACAGCCCGAAGCCTGGGAATGAAGATACTGTGACAGTAGGATCCCCAGGCCCTGTCTCAACCATGTCACAATCATGCCACTGCTGAAGTGTCCCACGACTGACGATTCCCACAGGGGTCTCCTAGGGCCCAGTGCCCACTGGGCATCTCCATCTGGACCTCTCATCGCCACTCAAACCTGACAGCTCTAACAACTCAACTTCACCCTTGACCTCTCCCGGGTCCCCACCTCACCTGCCTGTTTTTCTGTGTCATCACGCACTCAGCCATCTGGGTCAAAAGTCAGCACCATGCCCTCCTGTTCCTCCATCTCCCTCCTCACATCCTACGGGGACTCGCTGACCATCTTCTTCTCCACCTCTACCACCATCCCCTTCCAAAGTGGTCCCTGCCTCCAGGACTGTCCCCTCAAAGCCAGCCTCCACCCCAAGCCCCCTTGTCCCCCTACCAGACAGCTGCTCCAGCTTACATCCCCAAGGCCACTTGTCTTGCTCCCACACCAGTCCCCTCTGCCCCCCTCCACCCGCTTTGTGCTTGCCGCCCTGCACTTGAGCTTATGGTCGGTCCTGCCCGCATCCTGGCTGGGCCAGCAAAGGGGAACCTCTGTAAGTGTGCACATCGTAACGGCCTGCCTGCGCCCACGGAGCCCTCTCCTCCGGCCCTAACGCTGCACTGCAGCTGTGTTGGCGCTGCAGGAAAATCAGAACCCAAAATCCGGGCCTAGGAGCCCAGGGACGGGGGCCAGCCCGGGCCCAGCACCACCTAGCTCTCACCTTGCCTGGGAGCAGGACTTCCTACGGCCTTCCAGCTGTACGACCTATACTCTATGAGCAGTAATCCTCGTGACTTCGGACAAATTACCTCCCTGCTCTGGATCGCCAGAGGGGAAACGGAAGGAACACAGCGGCCCCGCGCTCTGGGACTCGGGGATTTGCAGAGGAGTGCCGGCGCCCGCCGGGGGAGAGGGGCGCGGACCACACGCCCCAGAGGGATAGGCTCTAGGACGCGGGCCTCCCGATCTCCGGGGCGGTCACACTGGGGTCGCGCACCCCGCGCCGGCGTGCGGAAGCGGTGAGCGGCCGGGCTGCGGGCTTCCCTGCCGGCTGTGACGCGGCTCCCCGGCTCCGCGGGGTGGGCGCACCTGGGCCGGGTAGGGGCGCGCTCGGCCCGCGACGCCCGGCATCCCCCCGCGACGCCCGGCATCCCCCCGCGCCCGCCGGTGACCTCGCGGAGGCGCCCCTGACTCGGCTTCCCGCGTGGCCAGGCCGAGGGGGCGGCCTCAGGCTCTGCGGCCCGGCTTCCCCGAGCGAGGGGCGCCTCCCCGAGCGAGGGCCCCCGCCCCCGCCTGCCGTTTACCTGAAGAGCCACTGCCACCGCGGCCCGGCGCCGCCCTCCTGCCCAGCCGCGGACGGAGTGGGCGGGGCCCGCGATGGGCCCGCCCCCGATGCGCTCCGCCAACCGCGGCCCGGCGCGCGGCAGCTAGGCCCCGCCCCCACATGATCTCTGATCTCATTGGCCGGAGGCGCGTCCCTCTTGCTCGCTCTCTCTCTCCACCCCGCCCACTGAACCCCAGCGAGCCCGAGTGCGCAAACTCCGCCTCGAGCTCAGCCCAGCCCCGGCCGCCCCATGACCGCCGCACCCGACTGTTGGGCGCGCTCTCCCGCTTCCTCCGCGCGGGGCCCGCCCCCTCTCCCACTCTGTTGTGTCCTCACTGGACACGTACACCCCGACGATCCCCGCACACAGACACCGCCCCACACACCGGTCCCCTCGCAAACACATACCTGTCCAGGTACACGCGCGAGGTGGGCCCGACCTGGACACACACGGGCACTGTCATGCCCTCTCTCTCTCACATGTGAACACACACTGAACTTGCAACAAACACCCCAGAGCCCGGGCCACCGACCCCTCCCCTAACAGGTAAACACACATGCACACAGGAGGCCCACATTCAGTCTGCCAACAGGCCATGGGGATCAAGGAGAGCAGGTGTCGGGCAGCCCCCTGGCTTAGCAGTTAAGTGCGTGCGGTCTGTTACTGGAGGCCCAGGTTCGAATCCGGGCGCGCACCGACCACCGCTTCTCCGGCCATGCTGAGGCCACATCCCACATACAGCAACTAGAAGAATGTGCAACTGTGACATACAACTATCTACTAGGGCTTTGGGGAAAAACAAAAAGGAGGAGGATTGGCAATAGATGTTAGCTCAGAGCAGGTCTTCCTCAGCAAAAAGAGGAGGATTAGCATGGATGTTAGCTCAGGGCTGATCTTCCTCACAGAAAAAAAAAAAAAAAAGAAGAGCAGGTCTCTAAGAGGCAGGTAATAAAGCAAGTAAATGGTTCATAAGATGCACGAGGGCCGGCCCCCTGGCTTAGCGGTTGAGTGCGTGCCCTCCGCTACTGGCGACCCAGGTTCTGAACCGGGTGCACACCAACGCACCACTTGTCCAGCCATGCTGAGGCAGCGTCCCACATACAGCAACTAGCAGGATGTGCAACTATGACATACAACTATCTAGTGGGGCTTTGGGGAGAAAAAGGGGGAAAAAAAAAAAAGGAGGAGGATTGGCATGGATGTTAGCTTAGGGCTGATCTTCCTCACACACACACTCACACACACACAAAACGAAAAAAGACAGACGAAGTGCTGTGAAGGGGCGGAGCTGGAGGACGGGAGGAGGTTCCATGGGGCTGAGAAAGGAAGAAACTGGGAGAGGAGCCAGTGTTCTGGTGAGAGACACTGGCACCTGCAAAGACTCCAAGGCTGAAGTCACCTGGACATGTTTACAGACCAAAAATGAAGGAGTAGTGTTCCAGAAGCTCAGGAAGTGAAAAGAGCAATTTGAGAAGGAAGTGGTCAGCAGCACTAATCCACCTCTTGACAAACGTCTGCGTCTTGCTGCAGGTTGCATCCGTGGAGAGCTGTGGGTGGGAGCTGAGGAGGCAAAGTGGGGGCCCCAAGGTAAACACTGGGGCAGGGTGGCAGCTGAACAGTGTGGAGTCAGGGGGCCCACAGAGAGAAGGGCTTTGGCCTGTTTCTGTTGTAGGGATGGAGCCCAAAAGAGAGGGACAGAACTCAGATGGCAGGGACAGCAAGATGGTCAGCAGATGGGGCCTGGCCCCTCAGGAAGAGCCCCACCCCCGTGACCAGGGGGTTAACCAGGGCATGTGGAAGTTGCCAGGGAGGGAGGCAGGAGGTGTTTTCCTAGCTCACATCTGATGGCTCACTCTCCCCTCCTAAGTTCCCCATGGTCAGCGCCTGGAATGCCCTCCTGGCCCTGCCCCCTCCCCAGCCTCAGCCAGACATCTTCACTCCCCAAACACACAAGCTGCCCTGGCACATGTCACAGCTGTCATTTAACTTTTATTAAATTGTTAATGCCAGTCTCCCATCTGCAACGGTAAGCTCTATGAGAGAAAGGTCCACGTCTGTGATTTGCTCCCAAGTGCTCAGCACCAAGTCCAGCATGTGATGGGTGCTCAACAAATCTCTGTGGCATAGATGGATGATCTAGGGTGCAGAAAAAGAGGAGGGTAAGAAAGATTTTGCAAAGGGAGGGTGAACAGAGCTGGTGACTGTTCTGGAGCCTACCTGTCATCTCTCCGCACAACACTCGCTGGCTACCAGTTGTGTTCTGGCACTACTGGGAGCCAGGAAGGTAAGAGGGGGCACAGGCTCCCAGGCTCCACGGCAGCAGCTCAGCAGCACAGCATCCCTTGGCTGGAGCTACACGGTTTTCCCTTTCACTGCTCCAGCTCTAGACATGGTGCCTCTCCAGCCCTTCTAACACCTGAGTAATAATCCTGCATTAAATTCCCTCTGCCCAGGGCCGGCCCCGTGGCTTAGCGGTTAAGTGCGCGCGCTCCGCTGCTGGCGGCCCAGGTTCGGATCCCAGGCGCGCACTGACGCACCGCTTCTCCGGCCATGCTGAGGCCACGTCCCACATACAGCAACTAGAAGGATGTGCAGCTATGACATACAACTATCTACTGGGGCTTTGGGGGAAAATAAATAAATAAAATTATTAAAAAAAAAAAAATTCCCTCTGCCTGAAGTACCTGGAGTGGTTTCTCTTTTCCCAAGGTCAGCAACAAACCAGTTAGTTTGTCCATATTTTCTATATTCCAGGCAACTTGCCAGACAAGCACTGTGGGTGAGCAAGGGAATATCAAACACAAGCCTTGCTCTCAAGCAGCTCATGGTCCAACAGGGATGAGAAAATGTGTCTTACCAGTTCAAGTCAGAGCAGTCCAAGGCCTTCATTGCAGCGGCACACCACATCCACCATGAATCCCAGTAGGGAACAAATCAAGTCCACAGACACTCACCAAGCCTCCAGCAAGACCCAGGCACTTGTGGGACACTCCCAGGATGGCAGCTCACAGTAGAGAGACCGCATATTTGGTCCTCAATTGCGCCATCCATAAAACGGGCATCACTTGGTTGTGCTCTGATTTGAGATCCTGGGTGTGAACTGCCTACCATGGGACCGGCCCATGGGGTGTGGTCTGTGAATGGAGACAGGACTGCAGGAGGTGGTAGTTGCAACTGCTATGAGTGCTTAGAACAGCGCCTGGCAAACAGCAGCACTCTGTAAATGTTAGCTATTACTCCCCTCCGTAACCGTGCTCACAGAAGACTCCAGGGGCCAGGATAAGGGAGGGGCTGTGTTGGCTCCCCTCTCCTGGAGCTGGAGGGTTTGAGGTGGGCCCAGGCCAGGGGCCCTTGCTTGCCTTGGGGATGTGTCATCAAATCTGTAGAGAGCTCTGGAGGAAAGGCCTCCTGCAGCCTTGGCCCAGGCAGGAGAAGCTTCTAGGCCTCTGCAGAGGAAGGCAGAGTGGCTCCCTCATCATGCCTTTCTTCTGGCTCAGCCTCTATTGCAGCCCACCTGGCTGCATGCTGGTACCCTCTCTAAGAACAAGGGGAGCTACCCTCTCTAAGAACAAGGGGAGCTACGCTCTCTAAGAACAAGGGGAGCGGTTGAAACAGTTATTGGCATACATTGTATTCCTTTTCCTTACCACCTGGGAAACTCTGCTCCCCTTCCTTCCCCTCCCACCAGCTCCCTTACAGGCCTTCTGTGGCCAGCCACACCCAGAGTGGCCCACAGAGGCCTCGCTCTGGCTCTAGCTCTTGGGGGTTCTCACCCCACAGACAGTGCGCCCCACACAGGGTAGGGCTGGTTCCAGCAAGATGTTCTTAGGGCAGGCAGGTCCTGGAGGACAGAACACCCACTTTGAGGGCACAATGCAGGTGCAGCTCTAGAACCCTCCATTCTAGAATCTGCTTCTGCTTTCTCAGAGCCTGCCCTCCTCCATGCCAGTCCACAGCTGTGTTAGCCTCCCACCCGGAGCTCTCAGCCTTGGTCATTTCCCTGCCTCTGTCCCAGTCCCAGAAAGACTTCAGAAACTTGGCTGCAGCCGCAAGGGGGTGCAGGTCCCACCTGGCCTCCTGTGCCCCGTGGCCCCTGCCCCTCTGACACAAGTCGGGCCTCAGCCCTTTCCCCCTCCAAGGCCCTGTGGTGAGCTGGACAGCCCTGCGCTCTTCCGCGGTGCCCTGCCCTCCAGGAAGGGCAGCGGCAGGCGAAAGCTGGACCAGCAAACCCTCATGGAGCAGGTTCGAGAATGCAGGGACAACGGCTACCTGCTCTCCTCCAAGAAGATTGGCTCCGGGGCTTTCTCCAAAGTCTACCTGGCCTACGCCACGCAGGAGTGCATGCAGCACAATTCCAAGCTGGCCTCCGACCCGCAGGGCAAGCGCCATACCATGGTGAGGCAGGCCCGTCTCCTCCCCATGGGCAGAAGGCTCCATGGCCTGCCCTCCAGTCCCACCCAGCAGTTCCTGTCCTAACTTCACTCAGGCACTTCCCAGCTGCTCTGGCTCCCTCCTGGTCCTGCATCCTCCCTGGAGGCCAAGGCTCCTGCAGGCTGACCACTCCCCATTCTCAAACCACTTGAGCACATAGGTGCTTGGGACAGGAGGGAGGGGGAAGGTCAGCATTGCCCCCTGAGGACGCTGCTTACCCAGCCTTACCCCTTCAAGTTCAGCAATGTGCACAAAGGACACAGTGCCTGTCCTGCCACATCCTACGCCAAGGGGCTGTGGTCTGCACACAGTGGCCACTCTCCACCCCTGCAGGTGGCTATCAAGATCGTATCCACCACCAAGGCCCCCGTGGAGTTCTCCCGAAAGTTCCTGCCCCGTGAAATCTCATCACTCAATGCTACCTACAAGCACCTGAATGTGGTGGGCAGAGACAGCCTGTCCCCATCTGGCCCATCCCCTGTGGCCAGCCCTCAGCATGCCTGCTGCCCACCCCTTTCCCCACCTGGGACCATTATGCTCGGGGCCCAACCCCACCCTGAGACTCTGATCCAGTGCACTGGACAGTGTCTCCTTGGGGTGATAGCAGGTGGGTGGGGGTCCGGCAGGTTCAGCTGTACGAGACCTACCAGAACAGCCAGCGCTCCTACTTGGTGCTGGAGCTGGCGGCCCATGGCGACCTGTGGGAGTACATCAACGTGGTGTCAGACTACTGCTGCTGCCCAGGCCTGGAGGAAGAGGAGGCCCGCAGGCTGTCCTGGCAGCTGGTCAGCGCTGTGGCCTACTGCCACAACTTGGGCATCGTGCACCGGTGAGGGTGCCGCCCAGCCCGCCCACCCACCTGCATGGAGATGCCCACCTGAGCCCAGGCCCAGCCCCACCTCCCCTTCCCCATGCAGGGACCTGAAGTGTGAGAACATCCTGCTGGATGACGGAGGCTTCCTAAAGCTGACCGGTGAGCCTGCAGCCTAGCCCCACCCTCATCTCCAGTCTGCCCCAACTCGTGACCTAGCCAGGCCCGCAGCTCTGCAGTGGCCTGCTCGACTTTTGACGCCAGCCTGGCTTGACCTGCAGTCCTCCCAGGAGGCCTACAACCCACCCTTACCCACAGCCTGAGCCCACTGGCCTAACCCCACCCTTGCCCACAGCCACACTTGCAGTCACCCACATGCTCCACATCTGCCCCACAGCCATCCCTCCTGAGCCCATTCTCTCCTACACCCTCACATACTGTAGTGTCCTCCCTGCATACCCTGTACAGACTTTGGCTTCGCCAATGGGTCGGGGCTCAAGAACTCACTGCTGAGCACCTTCTGTGGCTCTGTGGCCTACACAGCCCCGGAGATCCTCATGAGTAAGAAGTACAAGGGGGAGCAGGCCGATCTGTGGAGCCTGTGAGTACCACCCCACGGGCCCCCCCAGGCCTCCGGCCAGAACCCACAGGAGGGTGGGGTAGGGGGCGCACCCTGAGGAGCCCATGCCCCCAGAGGCGTCATCCTCTATGCCATGGTGACCGGGAAGCTACCCTTCAAGGAGCGCCAGCCCCACCACGTGCTGCAACTGATGCGCAGTGGCCCCACCTTCCCGCCAGGCCTATCCCCAGGTGAGCCCCGCCACCCTGTGTCTCTCCGAAGGCCCAGCTCCGTCCTGGAGAGCGGGCAGCAAGAGACCTGGGTCTGGAGAAGGGCCATCCTGTGGGGCGGAGGGAACGGCAGGGGCAAGATTGACCTGGCATCCTCCCCTGAGCCCAGGGTGGGAAACGGAATGTCCGCGTGCTGCGGTGAAGGGGGGCTGGGCTGGGGGAGGACCTGACCCAGGATCGCGGTCAGGAAAGTGGGTGGCTCCACTGAATTCGAACCTGAGCTCTGCACTAGCTCAGGGCAAGCCGCCTCTGTGCCTCAGTCTCCCCGTTGGTGAAACGCGGACGCCCTCCAGCCATTTACGATGACTGAACGGGATGACCCATCCAAGCTGCCAGCATTGTTGGCGGTGATGGGCACGAGCTGAGGGCGGGCGGCGGGAGGCCGCAGCAGCAGCAGCCGTCAGCCCTCGCCCGCACAGTGCCAGGACCTGATCCAAGGTCTGCTCCTGCTGCGCCCGCGCGCGCGCGAGCCTGCAGCAGGTGGCGGCGCACTGCCGGATGCTGCCCGCCGCGCACGCGCTCTTCCGCACCGTGTTCGGCTCCGCGCCAGGTAGGGCCAGATGCCCGGGGGAGAGCAGATCCACGGGCCCTCAGCGCATAGCGGGACCCCCAACTGCGGTCCGTTGCAGAGAAGCCGGCAGAGTACCAGCTCCCAGAGCCCCAGGACGACGCGGAGCACAGCGCGGACTCAGAGCACCCGGCAGCAGGTTGCCTCCCAAGACCGCGCCTCTGGCCCAGCGCACGAACCCCGGGAGGCCTGCCTGAGAGGAGAGGAGATGCGGGCTGTTCCAGGCTGGAACTCTGGAGCACGGCGGCAGCCAGTGGGGAGGTGGGCGCCTCCAGGCAGCTGCTGTCCCTGTGCTCCGCCATCAGGAGTGTGCCTGGGCACTCTGGTCAACCGATAGCAGGTGGGTGGGCGGGAACTGAGGCCAGATAAAGCGTTTATTCTGTGGAGCCAAAGGTGCGGACCTCTCAGTGCAGAAAGAGGGCAGCCGGCGTTGGGGTGCCTAGTGGAGCTCCTTATCCAGGGAAACCCCGAGTCCACATACCTCCATACCAGTTTTAATTGGGGGGAGGGTAAATACAGAAGAGGGAGATACCTGGCACCCAAGAAGCACCCAGCCTCGGCGGGAGAACGCAAGTGGAGCAGACTCCCAGCTTTGGAGGCAGCACCAGGTCTGAGGACATGTGGAGGGGGGCGGTGTTGGGACTTCTCAGGGAGCCAGGCTGCACTCCAGCACCTGGGTGCAAGGGTCCTGTGCAAAAGATGGCACTAGGTGTGATGGGAGGCCTAGGAAGGGAGCACAGTGGAGTGAGGGCCACAGACAGCCTACCGGGCTTGGCTTGGCCCCTGCAGAACTGGCAGGACCACATATGGATCCAGGGGAGAACCAGGTTCTTGGGCCCATAGTGGGCTCCAAGGGAGCAGAGGGTGGTCAGGGGAAAGGCTTGGGCAAAGGGCAAGGCTGCAGGCAATCATGGAGGCTCTCAGCATGATAGGCAAGGGGCTCTGGGGAGCCAAGGCTCAGGGAGCTGAGCAGGGAGAGGATTGCTAGCCGGGAGAGAGGGCATCAGGTCAGTCCAGGACTGAGAAACAGGACTTAAGGAGCTGGCAAGGAGCTGAGGGCAGGGCCAAGGCACAGGTCAAGCGGGAAGCTGAAAAGGATGAAGGCGAGGCACCACCCAGCAAATGCTCCAAGGACAGGCCAGGGAGTGCAGCCCTAGGAGACCCTGGGACAGGTTGTGGCTGGTGAAAGTCTCAAGAGGTCATCCCTTGAGCCTGGATCTCAGGCAGGACAAGCTGAGGGCCCCAGGATGGAGGGCCTTGGGGTGAGACTGGCAGCAAGGGACACTGCTTGCACCTGGGTGCCTGCCTGTGTTCGGACGCCTGCAGCACCCTTGGGACTGGGAAGCTCCAGCTGGCCTCTGAGGCTTGCAATGCTTTGCTGTCCAGCCCCACCACCATGCCTGGGAGCAGGCTCATGGTTCTGCTGGCCATCCCCCTAGAGATACCTGAGAGTCATAGGGCCTCGCCAGCTCTGGCTCCACAGTGCTCCTTTGAGCAACCTGCTTTCTTGCTGGAAGCAACAGGGCACAGGAAGGTGCCCTCAATCCTCCAATGTTTATTGGGCATTCGCCCTACAGCCCTCACCACAGACCTGGAGCTTAAGTGTAACTCTGTTTCTCAGCAGGGCACAGCCTCTGAGCAAGGGGACCCAGAGGCCTGCAGGCGGCTGCGAGAAGGCCTGGTCTGGGAGGCCTGGACTGATGGGCTAGCAAAGGTGGGCCTGGAGTTGATGGCGGGCTGCAGAGACCTCAGGTGGGGGCGGTCCCCTCTGCTTGTGGTTCCGGAGCCAGCTCCCGCTCCTGCTCTTGCTGCTCCTGCTCACACTGCTCTTGTTCCTGGCGATCGAGCTGCTGCAGCTGCTGCTCCACGTCCTCAGGCACCTGCACTTCCAGTAGGTTTTCCATGCCATGCTCTGGCTCATCCCCAATAAGCACCTGCCAGCAGGGGAGGCAGGTGAGCAGTTGGCTGGCACACCATGGACATCCACTCCTCCCCTAAACCCTACACCCACCTGGATGAGTTTCTCACAAGTCACCCGGACAGCGGGCTCTGGCTCCCAGCTGTGCAGCTCACGCAGGATCAGGTAGGCTCCCTGATCCCTCACCTGCTGCCGACCAGGTGCTGTGGCTGTCAGCTGGGAGAGGGCAGAGGTTACCCAGATGCCAGTGTGTTCATGTATGTGTGTTGAGGGGTGGCATTAATGAGGCAGGACCCCTGCTCACCAGCATGATGGCCTCAATGAGCATCTTGCGGATGTGGGGATCAGGCTCTCGCTGCTTGTCTGGCGGCAGGTACTGCAGGTCGACAGGCAGCCCTACGGGGAAATGTGGGAGTCACTGGGTCCCTACACTGGGCCACTAGGCTATACCCTGCCTTTGTAAGCCCCATCTGTGCTCACTGACTCTCTGCTGGAAGGTTTCAGAAAGAGCCCTAATCTGGACACCTCCTCCTCCCTCTTCTCCTACTGGCCTTTCCTACCAGGCCAAACCTGAGGGTCCATCCAAGCCACTTACGCTCCATCTCCTCCTCAGGGAACTCCTCAGGCCCAGCAAGAGGCAGTAGTAAGTAGGGAAGAATATCCACCTCAGGCCCAAGCAACCACTCGTGGTGTCCTGGAGGAAAACAGGGATGAGGGCCAGTCCAGAGGGGCCCGAGTCCACTCTCTTCCCCCCATTCCCTCCCACCACAACGCCCCACACCACTCACGGTGCTCGAAGCAGCAGTTTCGTAGCGTCCCCACCACCCCGGCCCTGCGCACCGAGGAATCTGGGTATTGAGTAAGGGGCAGCAGTTGCTGGACCACGCACCTGGAGGGAAGGATCATTCAGCGCCATCCCTGCTCACTTCCACCCCCTTCCCGCGGACGCCCTGGGCTTCACCTGTCGGGGTCCAGCAGGAAGGAGCGCGCCGCAGGACGCTGGCTGAGGTTGGAGAGCACTGGCCCCAGGTAATGCAGGGGCGCATGGCCGTTGTAGCCGGGCGTGCACAGTGCGCGCACGAGCCGCTCCAGGCCCGGCTCTGCGGCCGCCAGGGCCGCCATCAGCGCGGCACAGGGCGCCGGCTCGCGACTGAGGTTGGCCAGCACGGCGGCCGCCTCCTCAGCCCAGGGCCACTGTGGATCCAACGCGAGGCCCAGCAGGCGGGCAGGCATCCCGGGCTCGGCCGCCAGTAGCCGCTCGTGAAGGCCGGGGTCCGCGGCCAGGTTGACGAGAGCGCGGGCAGCGTCGCGGGCGGGGGCCGGGACCGGGGCCGCCGCCAGCTCGACCAGCGCCCGCAGCAGCGCCACCTGGCCGGCCAGCAGCATACGGCCTGGCCCAGAGCCGGTCAGTGCCAGCACGTGCCGCACCGCCGCCGCCTGCAGGTCCGCCCGCGCCCCGGGCGCCAAGAAGGGCAGCAGCTTCACCACCTCCGCCTCCGGGCCAGCCTCCAGGCCAGCCTCCGGCATCGGCGACCCTGCGGGGGTGACGCCACCAGCCGAAGAGCCCTCGCCCTCCCAGGCCTCCCCGGCCTCCCCCATGCCAACCAGCCCTTCGCAGTCACCCGCGTCCTCCCGGCGGAACGGTGCGCTCAGCCCCGCCCAGCGCCGCCACGTGAGCCGAGGCCCCGCCCACTAGGTTAGCGGAAGCAACCAATCCGAGGCTGCCGACTCCTCGCAAGGGGCGGGACCGGCACGCGGAGGCGGGGCCACGCCCGGGCTGGGGGATTGTGGGACCCGGTGCCCGGCCGGAAGTCGGCGATCTCTCGTGTGTTCCGCGGAGGTGTGGGTCGCCCAAGGACGAACATCGAACTCCCAATAAGGACAATTCTTTGGGGGGACCAGCCAGTGTTAGCAGGCCGACTACATTGGCCCTCTTCCTGGATTGGACAGAGATCCATCTTCAATGGGAGACGCGATCAATTACGTTGATTGACTTTCTAATGTTAAACCAGCCTCGTATTCCTGGCATAATCTCCATTTGGTCATATTTTCATTTTTATATACTGTTGTATTCCATTTGCTAAAATTTTGTTTGGAATTTTTGCATCTGTGATCATGAGGGATACTGGTCTGTAGTTTTCTTGTACCGTCTTTTGTCTGGTTTTGGTATGGGGGTAATATTGGCCTCAGAAGGCTTGGACGTTTTGTCTCCTCTTCAATTTTCTGGAAAAGTTTGTAAAACTAGTATTATTTCTTCCCTAAATAGAACTCTCCGGTGAAGCCATCTGAGCCTAAAGTTTTCTTTCTGGGAAGATTTTTCAACTGCAAATTCAATTTCTTTAATAGGTATATGGCTGTTCAGGTTGCCGTTTTCTTCTTGGGTGAGTTTTGGTAGTTTGTGTCTTTCAAGGAATTAGTGCATTTCATCTAAATTGTTGAATCATTGCTATGAAGTTGTTCATAATATTCCCTTATCCTTTTAGTATCTGTAGACTCTGCAGGGATGTCACCTTTCTCCTTCGTGATACTGGTCATTTATCTTTCTCTTTTTGTCCGTCTTGCCAGAGGTTTGTCAGTTTTATTGATCTTCAACAACCATTTTTTGCATTCATTTTCTCTATGGTTTTCTTTTTCTGTTTCATTGATTTCCACTTTGAGTTTACTATTTCCTTTCTTCTGCGTACTTTGAGTTTAATTTGCTGTTTTTTCCTAGTTTCTTAAGGTGGAAGCTGAGGTCATTGATTTGAGGCCTTTCTTCTTTTCCAGTAAGTTTTTTCCCTCATTTATTCCTTGACTCATGAATTATTTGTTACATACTTTACTTTTACATAGGTTTTAAGCCCCTTAATAGATTGATACTTTTTTATGCCATTCACACTGAGGACTAGGACAACGCTTCTAGGGGCAGTGATGCCCAGGAGAGCCACTCACAGGGAACAGCATGCCCTGAAGTCAGTAGGTCATAAGGTCCAAGAGCTAGGATTTGCCCCTCGCTCAAACCCATCGAAAGGGCACCTCATAGCCTCACACCCGACCTAACCTTGCATTGAGGAAGAGGGTGGAGGAGTCCATGGAAGTATCCACCTCTCCAAGGAAACCACATGCTCGGGAGACACAGATCCTGGCCATAAGAGTTGAAAATTTCTCAAGCAATGGAATTGGAATATTATGGATAATCTAGATAAATGATGTTCCCTGGTGGGTACTATTGACTGAGACAAAAATGTGCACCTTCAGGGCCCACTGGTATCCAGAGGACCAACGGGCAAGCCCTTGCTTTGACTGGTTGGAGCAAGTATTTACAGTAATCACCAGGTAGGGAGACTTAAATATTCTGAAGATAAATTAAAAGATCCAAAGTTTTTGGAAGTAATTTCAAAGTTAAAGCAACGTTAAAAGAACTCCTAGACCCTTGACCCAGAAACCTCAGTCAAGTTCCCAAGTTACACCAGTTATCCCAGTAGTGACCTTTTAGCAAAAGGTGTTGTCTGTTTCTTCAGTCTGCTTTAGTCCAGAGCAGCTCTTCAGTCTTTCTGTGACCTTTACACCCTTGACCCAACCCTCTGGCCACTATTTTGTAGCATGTTCCTTGATTTGCATTTGTCTGGTTGCTTCATGATTTAATTCAGATTATATACATTTTTGGCAGGAATACCATGGAGGTGATGCTGGGTTCTTGTCACTGCATCCTATCATGTGGCGCAATGTCAATTAGTCCCAGTACTGGAGATGTTTATTTTGATCACTTAGTTAATGTGGAGTTGCCCAGGCTTCTTCACTGTCGGGTTACTCTTTTTCTCTTTGTAGTTAATAAATATTTTAGGGGAGATACTTTGAGACTGTAAATATCCCATTTGTCATCCACCTTTCAATCACTAGTTTTTGCATGTATTGTTTTTTTCTCTGAATTAATTATTACTATGATAGTTGCCAAATGGTGATTTTCTTTTTCTTTTTTTTTTTATTTATTTTTCTGAGGAAGATTGACCTTGTGCTAACATCTGTTGCCAACCTTCCTCTTTTTCTTTTTTCTCCCCAAAGTCGCAGTACACAGTTATGTATCATAGTTGTAGAGTTGTAGCTCTTCTATGTGGGACCCCGCCTCAGCATGGCTTGACGAGCGGTGAATAGGTCCTTGCCCAGGATCTGAACCAGCGAACCCCCGGCCACCAAAGGGAAACACACGAACTTAACCAGTATGCCACCGGGCCAGCCCCCAAATGGTGATTTTCGAATTTCATCATGTATTGTAGGAAGAAAAGCTTTCTCTTTACCTATTTATGTCAGCCAGGACTCATGGATTCCTATTTTTCTCAAGGAAATATAATACTTTAGTCTCATTGTTTTTGATCCTCAAATTGTCCTCAATTTGGCTAGTGGAAGCCCCTTCAAGGAGGCTCCTGTGTGTTTTTTAAAATAGCTTTATTGAGATATAATCCATATACCATACAAATCACCCACTTAAATTCAATGGCTCTTGGTATCTTACATTATTATTTTTTTTAAATGATAGTAAAATACATATAACAAAATTGGCCATTTTAACCATTTTTAAGTGTACAGTTAGTGGCATTAATTACACTCAATGTTGTGCAACCATCACCACTATATATTTCCAAAACTTTTTCATCACCCCAAACCAAAACACTGTAACCTTTAAGCATTAATTTTCCATCCCCCTCCCCCCACCCCCTAGTGGCCTCTAATCTAATTTCTGTTTCTATAAATTTGCCTACTCTAGGTACCTCAATGGTCACATCTTATGTAGCTATGATACAGTGGCAAAACCAAGGTGTGTGTGTAGTTTTATGCCATTTCATCTCCTGTGTAGATTCTTGGAACCAATCAACATAGAGAACAGTTTCAACACCACAAAGACCTCCCTGTGTTGTGCCTTCTCCTGCTCCCATCCTTAACCCCCAGCAACCACTAATCTGTTCATCTCTATAGTTTTGTCACTTCAGCAATGTGATATACATGGAATCATACAGTATGTGATCTTGTGAGACTGGCTTTTTTCACTCAGCATGATTCTCTGGAGATTCATCCCGGTAGTTGCATGTATCGATAATTTGTTCATTTGTATTGCTGAGGAGTATTCTGTGGTGTGGATGTGCCACAGTCGGCTTAAGCATTCACCTGTTTAAGGACCTCTGTGTCACTTCCGGTTTTTGGCTATTACACATAAAGCTGCTATGGACATTGGTGGACAGGTTTTTGTGTGGACGTTAAGTCTTCATTTCTCTGCGACAAATGCCCAGTAGTACAATTGCTGAGTCATAGGTAGTGGCATGTTTAGTTTTCAAGAAACTGCCAAATCCTTTTCCAGAGTGGACCATTCTACATTCCCACCAGCAATGTGTGGAGACACATTTGCTCCACATCCTCTCCAGCCTATGGTGGTGTCACCTTTTTTTATTTTAGCCATTCTTTTATTTTATTTTGTTTTATTTTATTTTTTTTAAAGATTTTATTTATTTATTTTCCCCCCAAAGCCCCAGTAGATAGTTGTATGTCATAGGTGCACATCTTTCTAGTTGCTGTATGTGGGACGCGGCCTCAGCACGGCCGGAGAAGCGGTGCGCCGGTGCACGCCCGGGATCCGAACCCGGCCCGCCAGCAGCAGAGCGCGCGCACTTAACCGCTAAGCCACGGGGCCGGCCCTTAGCCATTCTTTTAAATTAATTAATTAATTAATTATTATTTTTGTGTGTGTGAGGAAGAGCAGCCCTGAGCTAACATCCATGCCAATCCTCCTGTTTTTGCTGAGGAAGACCGGCCTTGGGCTAACATCTGTGCCCATCTTCCTCCACTCCACATGGGACGCCACCACAGCATGGCCCGACAAGCGGTGCATCAGTGCTCGCCCGGGATCCGAACCCGGGCCGCCAGCAGCGGAGTTGGAGCACCCAACCGCTACGCCACGGGGCCGGCCCGTATTTTAGCCTTTCTTAATTTGCATTTCCCTAATGGCTAATGATGTGGAGCATCTTTTCATGCGCTCATTTGCCATCTGCATCTTCTCTTTGGTGAAATGTCTGTTTCTTTTGCCCATTTTCTAATGGGATTGTTTGGTGTTTACAGTTAATTTTGAAAGTCATTTATATATTCTAGACATGTGTCCTTGGGATGTGTCATTTGCAGATATTTTCTCCCAGTCTGTAGCTTGTCTTTTTATCCTGTTAACAAGGCCTTTTACAGAGGAAATGTTTTAAAATTTGATAAAGTCCAATTTATTGATTTCTTTTCTTTCATATGCCATGCCTTGGGCATCATGTCTAAGAGCTCTTCATCAGTTGCTAGGTCCAGATGATTTCTTATGTTTTCTTCTAAAATTTGTATAGCTTTACATTTAAATATATGATCCACTTTGAGTTTTGTCTTTGATTTTATGCCATAAAAAATTTTAAAAATCAGTAAATATGCCTATCTTTTCCTTCTGAGTGTTCTGAGAAAGTTAATATCTTTTCTAAATTACCTTCTGATATATTTATAGTTTTATTTTCTACATTCCAATCTTCCAATCATCTGAAAGTTACTCTTGCAAATGATGTGAGGAAGGGGTCCAGCTGTGTTTTCTGTCTCCACACTCTGTGCCCGTCACTATTCCTGAGTGCTTTAGACATTGTAATTCATCTCATCCTCACCGCAGCCCTATGAGGAGTCAGCATTATTACCCCCAGTTCATAGGTGGGGACACTGAGGCTTAGAGAACTTAGGTGATTTGCTTAAGGTCACACATTTAGGAAGTGGAGGAAATATATGTATATTTGCTATTTTGACTTCTTCTGTAGTGAAAATCCCATTCTAGCTTTTTATACATTTTTCTATTGGGGTGTGCGACTTTTTAATTGTTATTGATTTGTAGAAGTTCTTTATATATTTTGGAGATGAGCCATTTTTAGTTACATGTATTACAGATATCTCCTCCCACTCTGTGCCCGGACTTTTTACTCTCTTAATGGTATATTTAGATTAATAGATTTCTTAATTTAAAAATAATTATGTTAATATGTATTAATAAATATATTAATGTTTTCTTTTATGATTAATGGGCTTTTTTGACCTGTTTAAACCTGCCTTACTTTCTCACATTTGTATTTTTAAAAGCACTTATAGCTTTTATAATTTAAAACATGAAACACCAGTAGAAGCAGACTACCATGGGCCTCACACTCCTTGTTTTAGCACGCACAGTTCCTTTTATAAAAATGTCAAATCTTCCAGTTCTCCAGGCCTGGCACTTCTGGCCCGTCTTGGCCTAGAAAAGAGCCACCCACTAGGCACTCCCATAACAAGAGCCTCTGCACAGTTTGGGGGTGATGGGGAAGGTGTGGGAGACTAATTCTAACCATAAGACCATTGAGAAGAAAATTCTAAAGTCAGAGGCTGAAAATACTCACAGGAAAGAAATCTCTGCTCAGGGAACCCGACAGAAGGGTACAAAGGGCACTTCACAAAAGCAGTCCTCGTAGCCAATGCACACCTGGGCCCCAGGGGGGCGGTCAGCGCCCCTCGAGGTCTTGGCAGTTAAGAAGGAAGCCGAGGCCCTCTGAGACCCTGCACTTCACAGACAAGGTCGGTTTCCTGGCGACCTTTAGGTTGAAGGGTCCAGAGGATGCTGCCCCTCTGTTGCTTCTTGGGGCCCCTTCATCCATTCTTCTCCCTTCTACCCTCAAGGCAACAAAGTGCCGGTAGACTCCTGGTTTCACCTGCATCAAATGACTGTGGCCCACCCCCGTGGCACCCAGACCCTCCCCTCTCCCTTCCATACCTGGCCACTTGCTGGCCCATTAGTGCCCCCTCCCGTCTTGACCCCATTAATTGACTGATGGATGCCAGCTGAGTGCCTGAGCAGGGATGCGCCCACGCTGTGGGTCCCTCTCTGGGTAGACAGGCCCACCTCACCAGGAACGCTGCTCCACCACGTGTGATCACGCCCCAGATCCTGTCCCCCACCCCCCCACTCCACCATGCCCCCAGCTCCGGCCTTGCACATGTGACTGGCCACTGGCAGGTTCCTGACACACCAGCTGGACCTCCCTGCCCACCCCAGAAGCCGCCAAAGATGGAGTGGCATCCAATTTGCTGACTGCAGCCTCTGGACTTTATTCCAGCCCTGGGCCTTGGCCAGGAGTAAGCAACCGGCTGGAGAGCCACATCCCGACTACATGCTAGAGGGAAGGGGAGGCTGGGGATGGGGCCGGGCGAGGCCGCCAGCCAGCTCAGCTGTAGCTGTCAGGGTCCGTGTCGTCAGGCAGAAAGTATCGCTGCAGGGTGGGCTGCAGAAGCAGTGGGGGCAGTGGACGGGCAGGCCTGGGCCAGCCCTGGGGGAAAGGCTGCAGTTCCACCCGTGGCAGCGGCAGCTTCAGCATCCGGAGGGAGCTGTCGAGGGTACGGCCCGCCCAGAGCCTGGAAAGCATCTGGCCTGGGGGCCAGTAGGACAGTGAGGGCTTGGAGCAGGGTTGATGCCCCATGGGACCCGGGCTGAGGTGGAGGTCAGGGTCTAATCCTACCCCTGTCCCCACTCACCCCTCAGTCTCATTGGAGACCCCTGGACCTTGGCCTCCTGAAGCTGGAGTATAGGGTAGTGCCTAGGGGGTAAGAAGGTAGGTTTGGCTCAGCCTGCCCCTTAGCTGCCCCATGCCGGCCCTGTCCCAGCCTGAGCCAGCAGCCTTGAGGCCCACTCACCGGTGATCCCGGGGCTGTGGCACTACCGTGTTGGGCACCAGTGGGTGCGGGCTTGGGCTCGGGCTCCGGCTCAGGCGCAGGTTCTCGGGCTCCTTGGGCAGGGAGCTCTGTGCCTGCTGCTGCTCACAGAAGAAGTTGAGCGCATCGATTGGCCCCAGGTCCAGCATCTGCGACTGTGACCAGTGCGTCTGCTCCAGTGGTGGTGGCTCGTTGGGCAGTGCAGTCGGCACCGAGGAGCGCAAGTGGGCCCCAGGCAAGGAGCAGAAGTGCAGCAGTGTCTCAGACAGTGCACGTCTGGTCTGACAGACGCGTATCTGTGAGAGCATGTGCTGACCCTGGGACTCAGGGGCGGCCAAGTTTGGCTCCCCAGGCGAGACCACCAGTGAGGGCATCCAGGAGTGAACTGAGGGTATCATGGAGATGTGAACGGGTGCCCCAAAGACCATCGAACTCTGTGACAGGGCCTCCTTGGGAGGAAGGGGAAGAATGGAGGTCTCAGAGACTTTGGGCAGCATCTCTGACAACCTGGCTACAGAAGGCCCCAAGATTTCCATGTGTGGAGGAGGTGGCAAGTCCAGGCCCCCGCCCCGGGCCCAAGGCAGAGGCTGCCCCTCCCCTAATAAGGAGGTCGGAGTAGTGTTGCCCCTGGATCCAAGTCTGAACCCGGCCGCAGACTCCCTTCCTGGGAGGAGCAGGAAGATTTCAAGAGGTGGGGGAGAGGGGCCCATGGCGGACAGACGAGGCACAGAGCTACGGCAAGGCGATGAGCCTGCCAGCCTCACCTGGCTCTCCCCCCCTCCCCCGGACTTGGGGAAAGCCTCGCGAGAAGGCGAGAGGCTCCACTGGCAGGTGGCCCGTCCCACCCCTGCTGGCCCAGACCTGCAGCTGCCAGATCATTTCCTCCAGCTTCTGGCAGCAGCATTTGCGCAGCGTGGCCTTGGAGTCGAGGTCCCGGCCCTGGACCCAGGTCATCATCTCCTTGAACAGGAAGCCCTGCGGGTCCTGAAGGCCTAGCCCGTCCAGCAGCTTCTTGAGCTCAGGCCTGGGAAAGGTGTGGGTGGCTTATCCAGAGGCCTCCCCCGGCTGGCGGGGAGGTGGGGTAGAGAGTGGGCCTCACCGGCAGGAGGCTGGGGAGTAGAGGAAGAAGGACATGAGCTCCAGCACCACCTCACGGGACTCCAGGGAGCAGGCCAGGAGCAGCTGCAGCGCCAGCATCACGAACCGCTTCTGTGTCCCGTCCTGAGTGCAGAGGAGGGCAGCGTGATGGGCGCAGGAGGCCCGGGGCGCCGGCGGGGCGGGGCCGGCGGGGCAAGACTAGGCGCGCACCTCGAGGCTGGGGGGCCGGTCCAGATTGAGCAAGCGCAGGAGGATGCTCTGCAGCCGGCTGCAGAGGTCTCTGCTCAGGTCGGGCAGCAGCCGCAGCAGCGCGAGCAGGATATGCACGCAGTCTGCCCAGGACGCCTCTTCCAGCAGGTCCACGAACAGAGAGGCCAGGCCCTCCACCGTGCCCGCCTCGGGGTATGCCTGCGGGGACCGCATGCTGAGGCCCTGCCCCACCCCCACCTGGCTCCTGCCTCCCCACCCCCATCTCCCCACCTGTGCTTCCCAGGCCTCCCAGACTCCCCCAAACCTCCAGAGTGAAGATGGGGAACAGCTTTTTGAACCAGTTCTGGCAGACGAAAAACTGCAGGAAGCTGGGCAGATGCCCGTAGCGCTCTTCCCAAATTGAGCGGCCGTAGGCGTCCCCGGGGTGGTAGGAGGTCTCAGTCCCGGCAGCAGCATCATCACAGGAGCTCGTGGGCTTCGGGGTCAAGTACTCGGAGCTCTGGGGAGGTCGGGGGGGACAGCTGCAGGCCCTGCCTCTCCCCACCCGCTCCTCCCCGCAGCCCAGCCTGGGGCGCCTACCTGAGCCTCGGGCTCCTCAGGCTCCTCGCGCTGTCTCTGTGGGCTCAGGGAATCTGAGGTCCAGTCCAGATCCAGCTCTTCCTCCTCCTCCTCTTCGTCCCCCAACCACTGGATCTGCTTCTGCTGCCACTCGGCACGGTGTCGTCTGATGCCCCGCGGCAGCCACAGGCTGTCCTGGCTCTCGAGTGGCTGCGGAGGGGACCGCGTGAGTGGCCGCCGCTGGCACTCTGTGGGGACTCGGGCTCTCCTGCAGAGCCCTCCCCGAGCCCTGCCCCTTGCCTTAAGTCTGCGGCGGCTGGTGAGCTGGGCGAGGGCTCCGAGGCGGCCGACCTCCCGGGGCAGCCACATCTGCTGCAGCACCACGGAGTTGGGCACGCAGCCGGGGAAGTGGATGGGCTTCGGCAAGTACTGCAGGTGGAGCACGGCAGGGTGGGCTGAGGGCCTGAACTCCACCCCCTCCCAGAGACCGCCCTGGCAGAGCACCCCGGCCAGCAGCCCAGCGCTGCCCGCCAGGTCTCCAAGAGTTGAACTGGGCTCACACTCCCTGCCCACAACACACAGGCAGAGAGAAACTTCAGAAATCAGGTGGAAGGGCAGTTGGTAAGCCACCAACTGTGGTAACTGAGGAGGGATAGCTGGGCAACGCTGGCGGCTGGGGAACGCTGACACCCCACACGCTCTCCACGGGCCTTAGCCCCCAGCCCTGGGGCAGGGACGTCTATAAGAAGCATGGGGCAGGGGTAGGAGCTTGGAGAGGGGGCTGTTGAGGGCTTGGGTAGATGGTGCAGCAGCTGGAAGGATCAGTGACCCACCTGGGCAGGTGAGAGTGCCAGATATGTGTTGGGGGAGGGGCTGAGGCCTGTCTGGGCATCTGAGGTGGGAGAGTATGGGAAGGTGGCGGATGCAAGGGGCCAGCTCCCGCTGAATTTGCTCCCCTGAAGGGAGGGGACTCTGGTCTCCCAGACAAAGACCATAGGAGACCTGCCCACCCAGCACTTTCACTAGGGAGGGGTTGTGCAGGCCTGACCAGCTGGCAGAGGCTCTGGCTTTGCTCAGTGTCTGCCCTGAGAGTCCCTGGACTGGCAGCCGCCTCCCAGAGTGCAAGGAGTCAGGGCACACACAAAACAGTAGCATCGAAACTGGGCCAGGCGGGGGCGGGGGAGGGCTGCAGGTCGGCATGGCCCTCGGGTCAGGTTTGGACACAAAGGCTTGCAGCACAGAGAAGATGGGGAGCACAAGAAGGGTGCCCCTGGAGGGAGGTGCCTCTGGGGAGACCAAGGGGCTCTCACCTTGTAGGACTGAATAGTGGCGGGAAAGAAGCCCCTGAGGTTGGAGAGAAGCTCCTTGGGCCGCCTCTTCTGCAGCAGGGGGATCTGGGGACAGGACAGTGGCTCAGAGCTGAGCATGGAACCCCGTGCCCTTGCAGCTCTGCCCTTGGGTGGGCAGCACCCACCTGCCTGAGCCCCTCACCCTGTGCTGCAAGTGGGAGGATGGTGGGTCCAGGGCCACAGGCTTTTCCCCATGGAGCCGCTCCGACTGCAGCTGCAGGTCCAGACTGAGGCCCAGGGCGCAGCTCAGGGAGGAACGGGCCAGCAGCTGAGGCATGGGAGGAGGAGTCATAGGGTGGGGGGCAGAGATCACAAGGTCAGGGTGGAAGATTGGGAGGGGTGGGAGGCCTCACCTGGGATGCCCTGCTGTGCACCCTCCGGCGGGTGGGTGGGATGGGCAAGGTGATTCGGGGAGGGCGAACAAAGCACTGGCTCAGGGCCCCTAGGCCCTGTGGGGGCAGGGCTGTTGGGGCTTCAGTGCAGACTCCAGCCTGTCTGACACTGGGGGCAGCTCTGGGCAGGGCGCACGCATTCCAGGTCTCTCTCTCCATTGCAAGGGTCACGGTGCTCCACTGCTGGGACTCTCTTTCAGAATGCATGCCCTGGGAGGAAGGGCAGGGCAGATAGGCTGTGCCAGAGGCCCAGGGCCAAGGGACGGGCTGGGGTCAGGGCTGGGGCTGGGGGAGGCCCCACACCCACCAGCAGGCCAGGGCCATAGATCAGACGCAGGTAGTTGTCAAAGGCCACCTGGCGCTGCTGCCAGGAGGGTGGGGGCCGGGCCGCCGGGACCACCAGCCCCAGTCTCAGCTGCCGAAGGTCTCGGTCCCGGGCAACTAGAGCTTCCAAGTCCTGGGGTGGGGGTCAGAGGTCAGCCCATTCTTCCTTGAGCCTTGCCATGTGCTGCCCAGACAACCACAGGCCTGCCCCAGGGACCAAAGGGGAGTGGCCTGAGCCTGGGCAGAGGGCAAGGCTGGGGCATTGGGGTGGTAAGGGGGTCAGGACCCACCCCACCTCCTCCAACACTGGCTGCTGAGGCGCTGCTGTCTGGCGATGGATGAAAGACAAGGCCGTGCTGCAGACAGGGATGAGCACAGATGGGACAGTGGGTGGCATGACCAGTGGGATCAGCAGAGGCTGGGACAAGGACCCAGGGGGTGGCCAGGCCCCTGGCAGAGCACAGCCAACAGCCAGAAGTAGGGATGCCAGGGCCAGGACAGGCTTGCGGTGGCCCAGGAGCCCTGAGACCTCATGCTGGGCACATGAGGCCCTGACCCAAGGCAGCTGGGTGGGGGCCTCCAGGACAGCTCAGTGGCCCTGCCGGCGGACCTGAGGCTGGCCGCCCCACGCAGGTTGGCGAGCTGCTGCAGCTGGGCTGAGGTCAGCGACTCCTGGCTGGTCAGCGGCAGCGGAGGGTCATCTACCACATCAGGGACTCTCCGGCACAGCTTCTGAGCAGGAGAAAGGAGGCTAGAGCCCTGGCCTGGGGGCTCGTCTGCCCACAGCAGCCCCACCCTGCCCACCCTGTGTTCACTGCACACCTTAACCAGGTAGGATGTGGGCAGATAGAGCCTGTGGGACACCAGGCAGAGGCGGGAGCCCAGCGCCAGCACCAGGTCCCCACTGTTGCTACAGAAGGTCAAGGCCTGAGGGGGGCCATTCAGCTGCAGGAGCCTGGAGGGGTGTCCAGGGCAAGAGTCCAGCCCTGCTCCACAGAGCAGGGAACTGAGGCAACAGCAGGGGCAAGGTTCTCTCTCCCCTGTCCAGCTGCTGGGCTCTGGTGAGGCAGAGGTAGGAGAGCCCAGCTGGCTGTCCCAGGCTCCCAGCCCCTCCCACCCTCCTGGCCCCAGCCTACCGCAGCAGGCGGTTCTCCACTGTCCAGATGCGGATGGTGCAGTCCAGGCTGGAGCAGGCACACAGCTTGAGCGCTGGACAGCAGCACAGGCCTGGGGGCCGGGGCTCAGGGTCAGGGACCAGAACCATATGGTGGCCTGGGCTTCACCTTTGCCCTGCCCCCTCACCAGTGATGTGGTCCATGGGGTCATCCTGGGGCCGATGATCATAGCGTGGGCTGTCGCCCAGGCCAAACTGTACCAAGCCATAGGTGGCACTGTCTGGGTCCTCAAAGCCCACGGTGACCCGCTCCCCAAGTGCACAGAGCACCACGGCTGGGTGGCAGCAGGAGAAGCTGCGCAGCAGGCTCAGGCTCTCGTCAGCATACGGGAAGACACGCCACATCTTCACTGTCAAGTCTCCGCCTGTGGAGGTGGGAGCCAGGGCTGGGCCTTTGGGGAGGGAAAGGGTTCCCAGGCTGGCTATTGGGGGTGGGGAGGTACTGACCCGAGGACACGATGCTGTTCCAGGTGGACGCAATGGCAGTGACCGGGCCCGGGCTGTGCGCCTCTGTATGGAAGACGGTGTTTGATGAGCACCACTCGAGCACCGAAAGCGCACCATCTGTGTGCCCCACCACCGGCAGGTACCTATGAGTGACAATAGCCTGTTAGCGAGGGCCCTGTCGCCACATCTGGCCCTCGCTGGCTCTGGCACCCACCGGTTCTTGTCCTTCCAGGCCCAGGCTGTGTAGCTTCGGCACAGCTCGCCCCCGTGCTGGCGCACAATCTCCCAGCTGGCAAACGCACTGCTGGGGTCTGTGAGGTGGCTGTAGAGGTGCAGGCAGCAGGGCCTGGGTGCTGGGGGAGGTGGCGGACACACACGGTGCAGCACGCGCATGGGGCAGCGCGCCGCGTTGGCACACACCAGGTGTCCCGCGCGTGTCAGCAACCACAGCATTTCGCGTGGCAGGCAGTAGGCCACGGCAGCCGCGCAGTCATTGGGCTCCAGCAGCAGTGCGCTCACGGTGCGCCCGGTCGCGACAGACAGCAGGTAGACGGAGCCATCGGCGCACGCACACACGAGGCGCGTGGGCAGAGGCAGGTGCGAGGGTGCCAGCAGCGGCGGCGCCACCTGCAGGTGGAGCACCGGCGCAGACAGCTGCGCCAACGGTGAGTAGAGCTCGCGCAGGCGCCACAGCTCCAAGCTGCTCGCGCGCAGGGAGAGCACAGGCCAGCCGGGGCCTGCGGGCGCCAGCAGGCGGTTCACGCGCCTGGACGGCATGTCCTGGCTCCAGCAACACAGCGCTACCTCGCCCACCTGTGCCGCCGCCTGCAGGTCCCACGTGCGCAGCGTTCCGTCCTGTGAGGCCGACAGCACCAGGAACGTGTTCGGTAGCACGGCTATAGCTGTCACGGGGCCTGTGGGAGGGGCGCGGGTCACTCGGGAGCACGAGGGACTAAAGGAAGGGGAGCTGTCAGCCCGGGTTGCTGCCAGCGCAGAGAAGCGTGGCCAGAGCCAGCGGAGATTCTGGACAGCTCAGAGCTCTCTAAGGCAGAGAGCTGCACACAGGGTGGAGAGAGAATGGGCCTCAAGAGCCACCTTGGTATGGCGCACCTGTGTGGCCCACAAACACCATCCGGATCTGCCAGTCAGACTCCCACACCTTCACAGTGCTGTCCCTGGAAGCCGTCACCATCGCCTCTGCCGCTCCACAGTATGCCAGGTCAGAGATGGTGCTAGTAGTGGGGGGAAGGCCAGTTGGACTCAGCACCTCGTGTACGCGCCTGTGTCCCAGCCACAACAGGCATTCCATCAAGGACTCGCCTCACGTTCCCCGTCCCTGGGCCCCCCACCCGCCTCACGTTTTGTGCAGATCCTGGCGCACATCTGTGAGAGCCCAGGTGTGCAAATCAAAGGTGAGCACGGCTGAGCCGTAGGCAGCGAAGCAGCGCAGGACGTGGTCGGGAGGCAGGGGCCCCAGAGCCAGACGTGCAAGCGCACCCATGGAGCTTAGTGGTAGCTGCAGAGGTGACCTGCACTGCACCAGGCAGCGACCCCCTGAATGGAACTTCCAGAGCGCCAGGCTGCCGCCTGCCTCTGCCACTAGCAGCAGGCCCAGGTCGGGCACCGGCAAACAGCAGATGGGCTCACGGCCTGGCGCCTTGCCCACCCCTCCTAGCTGGCTCAGCCACAGCAAGCTGAGGTCGGGCCTGAGTATAGCCAGGCCCGCGGGGCCCCAGCCCACAAAGCGGCCCACGGCGCCCAGCGGGCCCAGCACTGCCACCAGCCCTGTGAGTGCCACAGGCGCCAGCAACTTCTCGTGGGCCCAGCCGTCCTCTCTGTGCAGGTGCAGGCAGCCTGCGCCGTCCAGCACCACGAAGCGTCTGCCCACTGGGTCCTGTGCCACAGAGTGCAGCCCAGCTGCCACCTCCAGGCAGCGCAGTGGCTCCAGCCCATGCGTCAAGCGTGCTACGTGCAGCTCTGCTCTCTTTTCCTGCAAGCCAGGACGTACAGGCCTGCAATCAACTTGGGGGAAGTGGGGGGAGGCAGTGCACCCACCCAGGGGAGCAGGGAGGATTTGGCTGGGGTTGTGCTGGGGACCCCTAGGGGAAGAGCCGAACCAGGAAAGAGGCCTCAAGGCAGATGCCACGGGTGAGCCGCACCTTTTCCACGATGTTGTGGAGACCTGTACGGAGGAGCAGCCACAGCTGGCGGGCACGGGCGCGTAGGGTCAGGTTTTGCCACCGTGAGCTGCTGGTCAAAAGCCGCGGGACTGGCTCTGAGAATGACGAGTCTGTGGGCCGGTGGTGGACGCGCCGTCACTGTGTGGCCTTGGGCCCCCAACCATTGAGGTCATAGGCAGCCAGGAGCCCTCTGGAGGGCCCTGCGGGTTAGGGGACTGCCCGGGGAGTGTTGCGTTCTGGGTGGACAGAACTTGCGCCTGAGTGAGGCTTGCTTGCAGGTGGGCCATCTAGGGGGCGAGGCCAGGCCACCTCACCATTCTTTTCCTTGAGCAGCCCTGGGTCCAAGTTTTCGTTGCTGTCAGCATCATACAGGTCCAGGTCCAGAATCGGGTTGTCACTTTCTACTGAGAAGGGGTTACTTGCACCCAACCCATCCATTTCTCTTTCAGCAGCTGTAGGTCTAGGCCGCTCAACACCACACCCCAACCCCCGACCGTTGCTAGGATACTGGACGCCGCAGGCCCCGCCCCCGACGCAGGTCCCACCCTCCCACGCCACACGGAACCTAGGTCCGCACTAAGTCACAGAAACTTTTATTGGAAACAAACGAGCTGCAGCAAAGTGACACTCAGTGCACGCTGCCCAACGGGCGAGGTGGGGGGTACAGGGGGGCGCCAGGGGCCAGCCCAAGCCCAGGGCGGATGACCGCTGGGGCCAGCTTGCCGAGTCTCGGGCCCTTCAGGCTGGAGTGTGCAGGCCCAGGCCTGATCCAGTACAAAATACAAAAATAAACTCTGTGGTCCAGCTGTCCCTGCCTGTGTCAGTTCGTTTGGGCAGGGCAGTGGCTATTCCCACCAAGCCCTGTGCTGTACTGTCCAGTCCAACCACAGTTGCGGCAGCAGGAGCCTGTGGGGGTGAGTGACCGGCGATAGGCTGGAGCCAGAGGGCTAGGTGGGCGTGGCCTTGGGCAGTGCTGTAGCTGCAGCAGCGCCAGGGTCTCACCAGCAGCTGGGGAGGCCCTGGGGCACCTCAGGTGGGCAGGTCCAGGCACTGGCTGAAGCTGGGTGAAGCTGGGGCCTCTGCTCCTCCTCACATACAGATCACCGGGACCCTAGGCAGAGGGCAGCACACCATGAGCCTTGAGGAGCCAACACCCAGGAGACCAGGCAGAAGGGGTCAAACCCTGTTCTGCCCACCCAGGGAGCCAGGCCACCGAAACCATCACACACCTGTCCTCCTCCATGGCACTAGTCTCCTCGGGTCCGCCCTCACTGCCTCCACTTCCGCTCTCTTCCTCTTCCTCCTCCTCCTCTCCCAGCTCCATGTCCAGCTCATTGCCTGCCTCCGAGGGAGTGTAGGTGGATCCACTGGGGGGGGGGGGGCGGGGACTGGTCTTAGGACTGCCTACCCCTGGCCTGCTGCTGGCCCCAGGGAGGACAAAGTCAGGAGGGTACTGCTGGGGAAACGGTGCATGGGCCAAACAGGGAGCTGGGGAAGAGAAACAGGCGCCAACCTGATGGAGCGGCAGCTGAAGAAGACAATCCGCTTAAGCCGCTTGTTGTAGAAGAAGTAGTTGAAGGACCAGAGGCTGCCATCCTCCCCAAAGGGGTCTGAATCCAAGTCTGGGTTGTAGCTGTGGAGTGTGGGGCAAGAGGTAGTGTGAGGCCCCAAGTGCTGCACACACTCAGGGCCCACCTGCGGGGATGCTAGCCCACCTGTAAATGTCGCATTCGGCTAGACAGATCTCCTCATCCACTGCGTTCCACAGTTGTGGTTTCAGGGCCTTGAAGTCCTCCCGCACAGCCGAAAACAGACTGCAGTTAACTGCATTCACCACCTAGGATGGTCACAGTCGGGGCTGACTAGGACCTAGGACAGCAGGCATGAACTGGGCAGAGCCCAGGGGCCACCAAAAGTTGGGGAGGACAGTGGGGATAGCTGTGGGGCTGCAGGTCCCGTCCCCCACCCGACCCTCACCCAGCTGAGGCTGGGCTCCCGGCTGAACTCGTGGCTTCGGGCTGTGCTGAAGTCATAGTCAGGCCGGAAGGACTCATTGAGCGTGGCGATCAAATAGAAGAGGGTCTTGCGGCTGCACTTGTCGCTGAGGGGGCCCTCGTCCTCACCACCTTGGCTCTTGCTCAGTCTGCACAGAGAGAAGCATCAGCCTAGCACTGCCTCGCACCCCACAGCCCCAGGTGGGCAGGCCCTGCCCTGGCTCACCTGCTGGGGCTGAGGCCCGAGGTCTGGGGCGGGGACAGTGCCTCTAACACGTGTGGCTGGCCCTCCTGGCAGAACTGCTTGAACATGTGCTTGTCGTCTCCTGCCATCTTACATGAGTAGCTCTCAATCCTATGGGATGCAGGCGGGACCATGGAGCATGCCACCCCTCAGGTTGAACTCAGGGCCAGGGCAGAGGGACCTCTGAGACACCGGCCCCCAGAGCCCTGGCCTCACCTGCCGATGATGTGGGCATCTCCAGTCTCCACGGTCAGCTGCGAGTTGATGGCCTCGAAGCTCGAGTTCTCCAACAGCTTCATGTCCTTGGGGAGGGGGTCCTGTGCTCTGAGGGCCTAGTGCTTCCTGAGGGTGGGGGGCAGTCCATGGGTATCTGGGCCCCGCGGCTCAGCCGTCAGCCCTCCTCCCCAGTAAGTGGAGCCGCTGTAAACAAGCTGGGTCCCTCCCGCAGCCTGCTCCCAAGCCCTGGCACTGGCAGGAGAGGCGATGAGATCCTGTTACCCGAGAGCGGCAAGTCCAGGCCTCAGCTCGGCCACACCCCCTGCACCTCATACAAGTTCTGGAGCCAGGATGGGGGCCCACTGGGGCTGCTGCTCACCCTGGGGCTGCTGGTTTAGTCTCTCTCTCAACACTCTCATCCCGACGGAGGAGCCTACCCACCATGGGGGTCACTGTGAGCCTGCGAAGGGACAGGCCTCCTGCAGTGCCTCTCCAGCCGGGCTCCTCGGCCATGGTGAGAACCCACACCCGGTCAGGAACCAGAACCCCTGGGCTCAGGCCCTGCGGTCGCCTGGACGCCGCGCTCTTCCCTCTTCTGCAAGCTGCCTTCCGGCGCGAGAGAGGGGAAACTCAGAGGCTCCTCCGCCCTCCTCCGCAAGCGCACCGGGGCCCGGAGGGAGTCCAGCCCCCGGAGGGCCTGCCGCACTGCGCGCCGGGCCGTGCGCCGGGCGCGCACTCGCCGCGCGGCCTGCTGGGGGCTGTAGTTCGGAGTCCCGGGCGGCGCCGGCGCAGGCGACACCTACCTGCTTGCTGCGCTCAGCCGGGCCGGGCCGCGCCGGGCCAGTCGGTGCGCGTCGGCGCGGGTGGGAAGGCGGGGCGGGGTCCGGCGGCGCGGCCTCCTCAGGACCGGAGGGCGGCGCCGCGGCCTCCGCTCGGGCCGCACTGTGTTCGGGGAAAGAAGCTCCGCGGCGACGTCCCGTCACTCCCGGCCCTGCCGGCCCACCCGGGCCGCGACCGCGACATAGTCTCGCCCCTGCACGGCGCCCGACTATCGCGACGGACTTCCCCGCCGACCGCCACAGATCACCCCGGCGAGCGAGCGAGCGACCTCTGTCTCTCTCGGCCGGACAACAACAAGCTTCTGCAAGGCCTGGCCCCTCGCCTCTGAGTGGCCCGCTCCAGCCGCCGGAATTGAGAGCTCAATAGCCATTGGTGGCACTACCCGCCGCTCAGTCCTATCTTCCACTCTTACTGGCTTCGGTGCATGTCCGTCACTCGTCTCTCGTGCGAACCCGCCCTCCTCCTTGGCGCTCATTGGTCACGGCCCTTCGCCTGCCCCGCCCCTGGTGGCCGCCCGGATTGGGAGGAGGCTGGCAGACCCGCGTGGTGTGGGCGGGGCAGCGGAGCGGGTGGCTGGGGGTCGGCCAGGAGGGGCCTGGCACCGGCGTCCAGCTCCCGCCAGGCTCAGGAGTAGACACGGACCGTCGGGCTGCAGGCCCCGCTCGCCCGAGCCTGTAGGGCTAAGGGACCGCGCCCGCCTTCCAGGGGTGGCCAGTGTTTCCGTCCTTGACACCTTGCCCGGCGTACAGGCCCCCAGGCCCAGCCTCGCCCGCCCCTGTGCGGAGACCCTCGGGCCGTGTCCATCCTGGGCAAAGCAGGAGGGTCAGACGCGGCCCCTTCTCGGGCTCCGATGCTCTGGCCGCGCCCGGAACCCCAGTCTCCCGGCCCCGGTTTCCGGCCGGCGGAAGCGCTCAGCGGCCCGGGCCTACGGAAGCGGCCTCGGAGGGCGGGACGGGGCCGGACCGGAAATGGCGCCGCCAGCGGGCGGCGCGGCGGTCCCGGACCCGGGCTCGGCTGCGGTG